TTTCAACTTAGTGATACACTTTTAATCAGATAGTTACAAAATGAAAAGCAATCAGTAATTGATGCACTCCACTAGTTACTTGATTGTGTCGTGTAGTACCTTTCCAAAAATAGACAGTATGAGCAAGTGTCAACATTTCAGAGAGTAACAAAAGGAAATTACATGCCCATTCTCTTCATGAGTTTAACTTCCAATTTTAATTTAATATGCTAACAATTGAAGCAGCATGTTATGACAAAGTTTATTTATACAATTTTGTTTCCAGGCTTTTTGTTGGACTATTGCAGGGGTGGATAAAAGGGCCTCTGCAGGCCGGATCCAGCTCACCTCCGGCCAGTGGACTCCCTGCCGCTCCCTCGCCCTCAGACTAATCAGGGCCTGGGGGCAGTGGGAGTACACAAAATCTCCTCCTGTCACTGGAGGCTCAGGTGCCTAGAAGGAACTGTCAGCTGTTCAGAACAGCTGGTGGTTCTCTCTTGGAAGGGTGGGGGCAAAGACTTCACATGCTCCCTTCACCCCCAAGGCAATCAGAGTCTGTAGGCAGGGAAGTGTCCTTGCCCCACCCCTTCTGCACAAGGCCCCACCCATTCCAGGGACACTTCAAAAATTTCTCAAGTGGTGCACCCTCTAAAATGATTGCCCTCCCTTGGACTATTGTTTAACAGCACACAACTTTTTATTTTGAGATTAATAAATCTAATCCAGTCCACTTAGTCTTGAAAGGCTGTGACCCCTAACTTGTGTCAGGCTCACTACAGACCAAATATCTGAAGAGCCCTTTGGCCCTAGAAGGTGCTGTGTGTCTTACTGCACCTGTCAGAAAATGTAATTTAATATCACTGCTGAAGGCAATTAAACCATAGCATCACTATGAACATTACTACCAGGCACAAGCCAAAATTTAAATGGTTTTCTTCCACTCAGATTTACAATTGGTACATCATATTTAAAAAACAGAACCGAAATAACAACAAAGTGTTTGGCATAGGGACCTGGGTGATGATAAAATAGCGAAGAGGGGCTCCTAAAATTGTAGAATCCAGCCCCTATTCAACTTAATCCAGCCTACTCATACCATATAATTAGTTGTGTTGGAAATATTCATGTCGCTATTCTACAATTCTTCACAGCAAGGATTCTATTTGACTGGTACACCAATCAACTATAAAACACCACCTTGACCAGGACCCCAGAGTATCAGTGAAGTCCCAGCATTTACATTTACCCCTAAGACGACACTAAAACACATTTAATTATCCACTGTACCAACTGCCTCTCCCCCCCACAACCAACTGGAATGTAGGGATTCCGTGCACAAGTAAAAGCCACGCTTCAGGGCCCACAAGCAAAGTTGCCAAAACCACACAATGATCCAAATGACATCACAACTACAGGGAGGGAATTCACTACCAACACTGATCCAGCCAAAAAGTCTCAGGCAAAACCTTGCCTCTCCTCTCCAACCACAGAAAATCAGGGTTCCTACAATTTCATTTTATTCTATGCCCTCTGGGCCTGCTCATAACTCCAGCAGAATTCTGGCAGAGTTCTGGCAGCTTGGATATCACAATGAGGCATTGTAGAGTATCACAAATGAGCAGATGGAACCCAGACAGGTGGTGGGATTTTGCTTGTGGGTGTGTTGAGTGCTACTCTGAGTCTAGTTAGTAGGAAAATGGAGCACATAAATGCACTGGAAAGGTGACTGAAATCTACCTTTAAAACTTAGCAGGAAATACAATATCAAATTGCCTTTTTTGGAACCAGAGTAACAGAGAAAGATTTGATTTTTAAATAAAGAATAAAAAAATTCACACCATATAAGTAGCATCCATGTACCCAATTTAGGATTTGTTAAGATGCTATAAGAGCGTGTGTTTACAATGTGGTAATAAGCAAAGTGGTTTTTTACATATAAACTTAATACTTAAATTATCAAGTTCAAACAGTAAAGGGAAATGATTTAGACAAGAAACATATCAACTTTTGGACTCACTTGAGCAGGAATCTATTCATTAAATACAATACAATCTTTCCCTGCTCTGATGAATCATGTCTCAAAATCAAAGCTCACAAGAGGAGCTTATCTTGCTAACAAGTATCACAAAGTTAAAAGAAAGTTGCAATACTTTGTAAACATTATAAATTTTAAGCAACATGAAATAATTAAGAATTAATGCTACACAAGTGTTTACATTCAGAATTTAACATGGCTACTAATAGAAATCATGCATTATTTACAGCTTTCCACTAAAGCAGCAAATCCACAAGTGTCTTTAGAGACAAATTTACAACAGAATTGTGGCATGAACCACAAGAGAATTGCGAGGCTGAGTCTTCTGTTTTCCCAACTGAACTGAAATACCACAGTATTTTCAGCAATTGTGTAAAAATACTCCTTGAAAAATGAAACTATCTTCCTTACTATTTTTTGTGTCTCACACGTTTATTTATAACTTTACACAAACATGTGCTGTTAGCCACTTATTTTCAAGGGAAGACCAGTGTTGTTAACAGGCTTTTTCAAACAGACATAAGCAAAATTTGTATTTTTCAAAAATCTTGACTAAGTCTGAATGATATCCACTGATGTACTCATTTTTCTGCCCCATTCTCAAGGACACAGAAGAGAAATGCTTCATTTGGTATTTTTATTTTAATCACTCTCTTCCCCATCTACTCCCCAAAAGCTAATCTATTTGTGAATTATATATCCTTAAGTGATGACCCAGCTAGCATTCTGTGAGGGTCAAACTCACATACTAATACATACTTGAGCAACAGAATAGAAGTCAGAACTGTTGACGGGAGCTACAGACCAATAGAGAGTGCCATCTACTGTATACATTGGACGACTGCTCAGAGATGTCTAATTTAGTCTTGAAAGGAAAATAAGGGGGGAAATTGTGTATGTTCTTCCCCTGCCACCTTCCCTGGTGCTTATGATTTTATCCTGACATTAGTATGTTTGTGTGTCACTCAATGTGTGTCAGATAAAACTCAATACAAGTATTTTACAAAAAATGAACATTTTAAAACTAGGTCAATCTGGCATCTTAAGAAAACATGCTCAGAAGTTAGATGGGTTTCACTGTACATGACTGCAGCGAGTATCAGGAGTAAGCTATGCGGAAAAATAAAAATGGTGAGGTCAGAAAAATTGCTAAACTGAGGTCTATTAAAATAATATGCTAGAGAAGACATCAATGGCGACAGCAGGTGTTATGAATGGATCATAACCAACTATCGGTTACAGAAAATCCAACAAGAAAAGGGGGTAGACCTACGATGACTTGGAAGTATGCAATTAACAGAAAAATTTAACTTGAAATGGGAGGACTAAGGTCACATAGCAGCTGATAAGCAAGCATGAAGAATGTAGGTAGCCCAACATGCTAAAAGCAAGGAATGGACTAAGGTTTAAGGAAATACTTTTATGGAGATGTCACCTAATTTATGCCAATTAAAACCTATTTTATATCACAAGGCCAGTTTGAGAAGGTTGATCCGGGAACTACTTGCTAACACCACATAATCCAGGGGTGAGCAAGAGATTGTCAGCGGGCTGGATTCAGCCCACCAAACCACCACATCTGGCCCATGGTTGCCTCATTGAGACTTGTAAGCACAGCGCAGGAGCAGCTGTCATTTTAAATGTGGCTGCTCTATTCTGGGAGTGAGGAGGAAGGCTCTCTACTCTGCCCCACCCCTCAGCAAAATCTCTCAGCTCCCATTGGCCAGTTTCTGACCAATAGCAGCTGAGTTATTTTGCTGGCAGCAGGAGCCGCCAATTAAGCCTCCTTCCACCCCACACTCCTTCACCCTGCCCGGAGCAGAGCCAGGTGGATCAACTTGCAACTACAGCCTTCAGGTTCCTCCAGGACTGTTGACCAGAAGCTACCTAGGTCAGCACCTCTTACCCAGAGTTTGCTGCTGGCGTGCGCACGCACGCACACCTACCCGCCCCAGGCCACCACCCAAACTCTCTGTACTATTTCATCCAGTCACAATTCCCTCCCAAATCATGCATCCTCTTCCCCACCCTTCCCCAAGGCCGGAATCCTCTCTGGCACCTATACCCCCTTCCTAATCCTGCACCCCATTCTCCTACCCAAACCCCCTGCACTCCTTTCCCTCAACTCCCTCAAAGACACTGTACTCCTTCTAGAGCCCCTCACTCAGGCCAGAATCCTCTCCTGCACCCAAACTCCCTCCTGGATTCTGCATCCCAAGCCTCTGCCCCAGATCACAGCCCCCTCCTTCACCCGAACTCCCTCTGCATCCCAAGCCTCTGCCCCAGATCACAACCCCCTCCTTCACCCGAACTCCCTCTCAGACTCCATACCCCCTTGTGCACCCCAGTCTCCTACCCCAACCTCCCTTCTGTTCCCTACCCCAAACTCCCTCGATAAGAAATGCAACCCTTGAGCACTTGCCAAAATCTTGGAGTAGCCCCCCCTATTAAAAATTATTGCCCACCCTGGCATAATCAAACACTTCACTAGAATCAGGATGCCACAGAAACTTTCTTCTCCTTTATCAGCTTTATTGCAGAACTCAAAAATACCCCCTTGTAAACATGAAATATTAAGCTTCCTTTAAAGTGCTATTTTGTAATTCTACCATTTGTTTAAATAGATTGTGAACTTCCTAAAGCCAGTGTAAACTCATATCACTCTGCTAACTAGTGTTGAGGGGGAAAAAGGCATTCATCTTTTTAAAACCCTGTACATCATTTGACAAGTGAGTTGTCCACCATCAGTCTTATCACAATATTTACTACCCTGTTACTTAATGATTGTACAAAGATTTCCTGTTGAGACTATTTCCCACTTACCCAAATTATAAATTAGAAGGTGGGCAGGGAGGGAAATGTGACCGTTTGCTTAACTGTGATGGCACAGAAGTAATGTAAATACCAGAATTAGAAAGAAGGAGGGATCATGTACCAAATTTTGAATCTATATCTTGGAAGTATACAATAGGATCAGAAGTTATACCTTCTAGTTGAGAGAGTGTAAGATCCTCTTCTTAAAATCCAATACTTCTGCTTTGGTTCATATTTCCTTAGTTTCTTATCTATACACCATTACATTTGAATTTAGCCTTTATTTCAGATAGTAATCTATACAGGAAGATACAAATGCAGACTTGTATAATCAGGCGCTTCCATTTCAAACTCTAACTTTCTTATTATCTTCTTATATGTCTGCACTGCTGTGGTAATAGCTAATTCATGTGAACAGTTGATTTGGTGAGTTTTAAGAACATACTGTTGGTCTTGTATGCTCTTCCACTTTAATACCTTGAGCAAACAAAACAAAACATAGGTTGATTTCCATCAAGCTGCATGTTTTATAGTCCTCAGAGTTCATAAATCGGGGTTTCACAACAGACTACTGGTAACCATTTAGAAGATTTTAATAAAGTGTGTGGGGGGAGGGGAGAGGAGGAATATTAGTAAGTGAAAGGATTTTGTTAAGAGATGTTAAATAGAGTAATCAATTTTTAAACATTAGAAAACAAAAGACAAAAACAGGAGTTCATGATCAATTTTTAAACATTAGAAAACACAAAACAAAAGACAAAAACAGGAGTTCATCACAACTATGGGAAAACTCATGTCAATATTAATGATGCATAAAAAATTCAGCAACATAACTGAGACACTTAATCTTTAGAAATTCAATGCTGTCCATACTATGGTTTACCCATGCACCTCTGCATTCTTCGTTGCCTCCCATACAAAATGAGATTCTTCTATCTAGGCTAAAAGGTTAGCATCAACTTTGACACCACTGCATGACTCATCCCAGCCTTGATTATTCCTTAATGCACAACCTACACACTACCTTCCTCATTCCTATCCCCAAGGATCATTTTTTCTGCCTTGTGTTTATCAGATTAAGTGTTACAGTAAACACATATTTAACAGGAAGTGTTAGTTATACCACCCAGCCTGCATTCATGGTGCTGTCAGTATACAACTTTGCTCTGAGGGGAGGAAGAGACCAGCCTCTTACAACTATGTTACATCACTGGCTAGGAGCCAACACGCATGGATGTGGACAATCCCAAAGAAGACACAGCTGACAGCAAAGAAGGAAGCGCCAATGCCATTCCTCGGTGCTTCTAAATGCACTTCGAACAAGCGCACGCCCGTGTCACTTTATGGGGGGCCCCGCATTTCTCTGGCTGTTTTCCGGGATCTAGCCACAGAAAAGGGCTACCAGCAGCAGCAGCCCCAATCACAAGGAGCGCTCATCATCACGAGGGTCCCCCCAGCGCCTCCCAAACGCCAGGTAATAGGAGCTCGGGATCCAGGTCCACCCGGGAAGCGCTAACAGGAAAGGGAGTGAAACGCACAGTGCAGGGCTTCTCCCGGGCACTGCAGCATCTCCTCCTCCCACCCAGCCCAGAAAAGGGCTACCAGCAGCAGCAGCCCCAATCACAAGGAGCGCTCATCATCACGAGGGTCCCCCCAGCGCCTCCCAAACGCCAGGTAATAGGAGCTCGGGATCCAGGTCCACCCGGGAAGCGCTAACAGGAAAGGGAGTGAAACGCACAGTGCAGGGCTTCTCCCGGGCACTGCAGCATCTCCTCCTCCCACCCAGCCGC